CAAAGCAATTAAATGTCAAAATAAAGCACGTCTGTCTATCTCTCTTTAAAGAGCACCTATCATGGATTTTTCAAAATGACTGTTCATGAAGTGTGGAATATAGCTCTAAGGGAATGAAAACATCCTGCAAAGATTCATATCTGAAAGTGCACCGTATATGAAGTTATTGTCTTTCAAAAGTGAGAGTCGACTCTGAGTCTATGAAATGAATTGTTTTTGGAACGAGTCATTAGATGTTACATCGTGACGTAGACAGGTCATTGGCCGCTCGCAACAACGGCGCGCGCAGACTTGAAGTTGAACACTATATACAATTTTCAACACTTGACAAGCTATAATCCTGGTTATGGGCGTTCCGTTGCCGACAGTCTCTGCCTACGGTTTCCCAATAACAACTGACTGGGTCATTTGACCAATCGCCGCAGATTCGCGTCACTCAAAGGAGGTGTTTGGGAAAATGAATCGAACGACTCATTTGGGAGTCGTTGAGCAAATCAGTTAAAAATAAATGCATATTATAAGACAAATAAAGTGTTTTTGATCCTTGCATGCACGTTAAACTGTTTTTGGGAACTCCTAAAACAAAAATAGGAACATTTCAAATGCTATGATAGGGGCTCTTTAATCAGCAAGGATCCATTAAATTGATCAAAAGTGACAGTCAAGACATTTATCATGTTACGATAGTTTTCTCTTTCAGATAAATTCTGAAATCTCTTCCAGTCTATCCAGTTTGTATCCAGCCTCACACGGAGACTTCAGATGCCCCAACGCCTGTGAAGAGACGACTCAACCCTAAATATTACATGATTAACTAAATGTATTTTTCCATGTACTTTTCTGTAATGCACTTTCTGTAAAGCTGCTTTGAAACAATATGTATTGTGAAAAGCGCTATACAAATAAACTTGAATTGAATTGTTCTTTTGAAGGAATCCTAAAAAAAACCTTTTTTTTAATATTGATAATAATCAAAAATATTTCTTAAGCAGCAAATCGGCATATTAGAATGATTTCCGAAGGATCACGTGACACAATATTACTATTTTTTTTTCACTGTGTTTTTGATTAAATAAATGCAGCCTGGGTGAGCAGAAAAGACCTATTTCAAAAATGTAATATTTCGTAATCTGGAAAGACAGAGAGACAGCAAGTGAAGCAGAGTGTGCCGGTCAGGCCCTCAGGCTGGATTCTGTCTGTCTGCTTGTCTTTGAGTCTCAGCTCTTTGTTGCAGTAAGTGCTCTTGCTAGCCTGTCAGATCCACAACTGTTGCTCTGTCTCTTTCTCCAGCTCCACATCTGGAGAGGAGCAGGCAGTCAGACTCAGAATTCAACACAACAAGCCACCTGTGTGAGGGAGCCGGGCTGGAGTCACGTGGCGGGTCTCTGTTGAGATTGACAGGCTCTTTGCCAACGGAAACTGACTGAAGGTTGCATGAGAGAAGAGGATGAAACTGGGGAGCGCTGTCTAGACAAGCAGGCCATCTGAGTCATGCAACTGAGCATCAACAAAGACCCAGGGGCCTTCTGCTTTTTATGCAAAATAAACATTTATATATGCTTAAATATTTTATCCAATACACTTATTTTAATCTACAAAGATCACGCCACTTGGACTATACAAGATCTGGATAACACACTGCAGGCCTAAATAATTCACATCCATAAATGCAGATCTGAGTTTGATCTCTTAAATATTCAGATGGCTCCAGCGTTTCACACTCGGATGTGGTTAATGGATCTGGATGCATAGCCTTCAAAACAACTTTATTCTCCATTTGCTGATGCGAACTCGACATTCGAAATGGGCAGCGGCGAACAGACGAGCTGACGGTAGAAGAAGCTTCTACGCATAATCATCCATCAAAGCGACTGTCAAAACCCGCCATGCTTCTCTGTCTTTATAACGCTGTTAGAGGACTTTGATGACTAAAGATACAATAAACAGATGTGACGATTGCTGTTGAACATGACAGTTGTAGCGAGTCTGCATTTTAAAGTGGTGAAAACAGCCCGTACGATCGAATTTGGACACGCGCGTGTACGTGGGGACGCCTGAATGAATTCATCTTCATAAAGGAATCGGATTAGTAGTCGCATAGCAAAAGCGAATGTAAAACGTTCGTGCTCGTATATACCTCACGAGCTAGCAGACTTCTAAAAAACAAAGTGTTTGACCCTGTGAGGCGAAGCATTAACGGAGCAAAAGAGGTAATTGAGATGTACTAGACGGCTCTTTTTGTGGAACGCTGTTCGCATTTACTTGCCTCATTGAAAGTGAAAGATATGAGAGAAGTAATCCCAGTGTATTACACTGAATCCAGACTTGTTCTCTGGTGCTTTACCTATAGAACGTGTGTGTGTACGCTAAGTTCCCCCTCACAGGATCTCTGTTTAACTACATCACGTCTGTGTGTTACACCAGAGAGTGTTTTACTACTGCAGTCCAAGCTGTTGTAGCCTCATCCTGCTCTCTTTTTCTTCGTTCCCTCTCTCTCTTTCCCTCTCTCCTCCATCTCCGCAGGTCATTAAGAGTGTTGTACTGCCACATACCCAAGAACAGAGGACATAAAAAGACAAATAAGGCTATAAAATGCCCCTATGCCTGTGCATACAAATGCATTGCCTCTCACTCTCTCTTGTTCTATCTCAATGTCCCTCCCTCACTTCTTTTTACCCCTCATCCAGTATCCATCCTTTCATTCTTGCTTTATATCTCACATTATATCTTCTATATGAATTATAAAAAAAGGCTGCTTGCACATGCTAATGAAATGGCATGAAGCCCCCAAAAGTATTCCGAACATTTCTGGACACTTAAAAACGTATTTGTTTCTCTGCATTAGATCAGGGACTTTTTGTCTTTTCAGCTAACGGTGTTATTTTAGTATTATTGATATAATGGTATTTAATAATAATTTGAATTAGCTTTTAATATTATATTTTCAGTTTTAAGTACATATATATTTTCTTACATGATTTTGTCCTTTTTATTCATTTTTTATCTTTTATTATATTATTTCTATTTTGCTTTCATTTATTTTTATTTCAGTTACGGTAATTTTAGTACTAAACTTATTTTATTTAAGTTAGTTGCCAAGAGAACATTTCTAATTTTCATTTGAGTTTTTAAAGTCTTTTTTTTTTCATCTAATATTTATATATATATTATTTTATTTCAGCTTTATTTTTTTTCAATTAATGCCAATGTTATTTAATAGTTTTAGCATAACACTGACCCCTACTCAAATTTAACCGAGACAAATCTATTTTTTTAGTAACACTTTATAATAACACACAAACAATGCTAGAGTTTCTAGTTCTAGTAATATTTGGCAACCTTTTGAAAATTAAGCTTCACTATCACAGGAATAAAACACATTTTATTAATATATTACAATAAAAAAATATATATATTAAATAACATGTCATGATGTTACTGTTTTTACTGTATTTGTTGATCAAATAAATGCATCTTTGGTCAACATAAGAGACGTAGGGCCTGCTCACATGTCGTTTTTTATTGCGCGCTCAAGTTCGTTATTTCAAATGTAGGCGCGCGGTATGTGCGCTCATAATGGAAGCGGCACGGTCGCGGTGTGACGCGCTCGTTTTTTCCAAGCACGTCCTCGCCGCATCGAGATAAAAAAATCTCAACTTTTCAGAATGCCGAAAACACACCATAAGCGCATAGTAGGTCACGTGACAAGAACCAACCGGAGCGCAACCGCCCTAGCGCTTTGGAAAAAGGAGAATGCGTCACGCCCAGTGTTTTCTACACGTTTTTAGGTGCTATATGTGAATCCGGCCTTAAAGAGGTGATCAGATCAGGGAATATGTAATCTGGGTGCATGTTTCACTGGCTGTATCAATAACAGCAGCAGATTCACCCTGTACACCCTTAAGTCTGTGTATCTGTTCTTTCATTGATTTAACATGTAGCTCAATCATGACAACTCGGAATAGTTTTAGCATTTTATTAAATATGGCAATGTTAGGCCGGATTTACATATAGCGCCTAAAAACGCGTAGAAAAAAAAGTGCTAGGGTGGTTGCGCTCCGGTTGGTTCTAGTCACGTGACCTACTGTGTGCTTATGGTGCGCTTGCGGCATTCTGAAAAGTTGAGAAGTTTTAGCTCAATGCGGTTTGGTAAAAACAAGCGCGTCGCACCGCGACCTCGTCGCTTCCATTATGAGCGCGCATCCCGCACGCCTAAATTTGAAATAACGAACTTGAGCGCGCAAAAGACGCGATATGTGAACAGGCCCTTAATGTATTTAGTCTTGGTGAACTAGATCTGCTCGCTGCTGCTGTTACCATTTCTTATTAATGCTGCAGAGCAAAGTATGGATTTACTGATAATTGATAACACAGACACACTGTAGTGAGCATGTAAGATATGCTGCTGTATTAAGAGGAATAACTTACAAACAAACATTAAACTGGAAAATGTAAAAGTTGGGCAAGCAATCTAATCGGCAGCAGGATCAGCAGAGGCCAATAAGCTTGTGGTATTTGGTAATGATGTGATTGCTTGCAGATTGAATGTAAAGAAATTAACAGCCTGCGCCCTCTAGAGTTTCATGACTGAAGTAGATATTTTTGCCGTTTATTCCCCCCCCCCCCAATATATTTGCCCTTTCAAATCCCATTTAATGTGAAACTGATTTCTTTTTTTACCATTGACACCATATTTCTTATCAATAAATGTCCTTTCATCAGTGGCTTCTCGTGCCTGGATCTCCTTGACGAACGTGCAAGTGATGAAGGCCCTAAAAGAGGGCTTTAATCTCTCGAGCATTCCTAATGAGTTTTCCTCTACAATTATTTGATAAGAGCGGAGACGGCACTGTAGGCACTGTCAATGATCCAGTACCTGTGCAGATCATGCACGCACACACACACACACAGTCATGCATCCTCAAAGACACTTACATGTGTCCGCCTCCTTAAAGAAATAAAATGTGCAGTAACACAGACTCAAACATGCAGTGACTAACCACACTGAGGCCCAGCTGCTCTCGCTGCAGGTAATCCAGATTTCGGCGCTCCAGGCTGGCCAGGTAATGTTGCAGACGGGAGTAGGTGTAAGGGTAGCAGTAAGCAAACTGATAAACGTCATCCTCACGGTCGAAACAGAAGGCGAAAGACATCACATAGTTCCTCCGATGGTCAGGGCACCGATAGTAATACACATTCTTGGCTGGCAATCTTTGCCTGTGACAAAGAAAGAAAGAAACATGACAATAAAATGCACCCTGTTTGCTTTCTCAATTTCATCATTATAGTGTGAAAACATTTCGTCTAGTGTAACCAAGGCGGCATGCACTCTAAATGCTAGCTTATTATTTTTTCAACCCAAATGCTGCATTGAGAGTGTTGGATACGGAAGCTGGGTTGATTTGACCCAATTTGGGTTGATAATCGTTCATAAGTAGTAACCAAACGGTGGGTTGGGAAAGCAGGGCATGCACGTCACACAAGTTCTAACGTCAAAGCAGAGAAGACAGAGTACTTTGAAACTGAGTGCAGCGAGGAATGTGCTCATTTAAAACTGGATTTTGGATATTGTCAGAGTGTTTTCTCTCTCATCAAAATCACCAGTGGTGATAGATGACTAATGAACTAGAACTAAACAGGCTGGAATGGCACTTGAGTGATTATAAATGCTTTAAACAGCAATGGTAAAATCCTGTCAATTCGCTCTAGTTTGTCCCTGATTTTTCAGTGTTTATGTATTTCTTGCTGGTGTGATGAAGAGATGAGTCCCAGCTTAGGACCCAAGCAATCCGATTGGTTCAAAGCACGTTTTATGGGTAAATGCTTTAGTACCTGCATACAAATCAGATATCACTTTATTACAGTATATACAGTAAGTCGTTTGAACTACGTTATAACAACAATTAATGTCTTTTAACTTATATGTTTCATATACTGGTATATAACTGAAGCTATAGATTGTGAAATTAAACATTTCTCGTTCTTAGTGTTTTTTAGTTAGCTTAGCTATAGCATCATACTACTATCCGAAATGATTAGAGATAACGTTTTTTTCACGATCTACAATATTTTTCAATAAAAAACTTCGATAATATGATGATACACGATGGTGATTATGACATTACATGCTTGTAATTAATATATATAAATATATATATATATATAATAATAATATATATATATATATATTATTAAATATTATATAAAAATAAAAAAAGATTATTTGAGTTTGACAAACAATTGCTTTCTGACATGACTATCTCCATTGGATGTGAAAAAAAGAAAAGAAAAAGAGATAAAGTGAGAGAATAAGATGAAATAACATGAAGTGAATAAAATAGAGTAAAAGAAAAATAGAAAAGAGTCGGGAAGAAAAGATGGAAAGAAAAAAAACAATAATAATGAAACATCTTGTAAATATTGGAAACTTGCAGGCCAACCAATCCTCTACATCAGTTACTCACATTACTGCTGTTCAGACATCTCTCTCTCTCTCTCTCCCCCCCCCCCCCCCCCATGCCTCTCCCTTTAAAATCCCATCTAGATAAAGGCAAACACTAGAAGCAAACTGTAAACAATGAAATTTTCTGCAGTGCACGATGAGCTGGGTGAACAATGAAAGCAATGTTATTTGCATATAAAATGATATACTGTGCTGTTAATCAGTTTTATGTGGAGCTACTGAAAGTAAATCTGCACCATCTGCAGAGATAGAGAAAGAGAGAGAGAGAGAGAGCAAATAGCAGTGAAGGACAGGCAAAGAACATACGATGGAAGGCAATGGAGGGAATAACAGCGGGAGGGAGATAGTGAGAAGATGAGAAAGAGAGGAAAGATCAGAGCTGGAATGGGTTGACTGTGGGACAGGGAAGAGAGAGAGAGAGAGAGAGAGAGAGAGAGAGAGAGAGAGAGAGAGAGAGAGAGAGAGAGAGTGAGAGAGAGAGAGAGAGAGATCAGATGGAGATGCTATCTATGTGAACAGCACAGAAGCTTCCACACGGCCATACTGATAAGAGAGAGGAAACAGCTCTCTAAAATCAACCTTCAGTCCTTCCATCTCATTCCTTGCCACTAAACAACTCACATACACACTGTACACTGATGTAACTGGGTTAGTGTCTTTGTTTGAACGCTTCAAAAGTTATAAACACACACCTGTTCCCTTATCTTCAGTCACCCACACGCATAAATGCATATAAAAACAGACATATACAGCGGGATCCAAAAGCCTGAGACTATATTGAAAATATCAGAATCCTTTTTAGGATTTTGAACATTTAAACTGAATAAAGGACATCATGTAAAATAAATAAGAAATACTTCAGATTGCGACTAATCTACGTCACTATTTGAATATTAACATAATTTATAACATTGATCACCATCAGTCTAAACATTCTGAAACTCATTAATTCAAAATGAAATGAAATGAAATATAATAAATAATAGAATATTGCATTATATCAGAAACAAAGCAAAATGGAAACTATGGTCCAGATTTACTAAACAGGGCAAATTAGCATGAGATTACAATTCCAAAAAAGTGCAGATGGGAGATAAAAGTTCTGCGCACAATCTATACACGCAAATTAATACAAAAATACACAGACGCAGCCGGATCATTTCCATAATGACCAACAGAATCTACCAAGAGCAGAGCAAATTAGCGTTTGGTTTAAGCCATGCTTTACTGAGCAGTAAATAATGGCGCAAACACCAGTAAATTGACTATAGCGCAAACCTTGAATCAGTGGTGAATTAGATGGTAGTTTTTTAACACCAAAAGAGGGTTTGCGCTGCCGTAAGCTGTTTGTAAATCTGCCCCTATATGATACAGGAATGCTATTTACCTAGTGAATTAGCTACATATGAATCATTTTTGGATATTATAGGCATGTTCCAAATGCTGTCAGCATGCATAAAACATTTGCACTGCTCAGCTTGTTTGCTGTATAGTGAGCGCCTCGGGTGCAGCATCGTGATTGGCCATTTAAAAGAGCATGTTCCACCATGACGTTCATGAGAAAACCATGAGAAATAAAGCTATGTACACTGTAAAAAATTATTGTGATTTTAACGGTAAAAGTCTACAAAAACGGTAAAAATGATACGGTGAAAAACTGTTAATTGGTTAACAGAAAGTTTCCTTATACGGTAAATAACTGTGATATCTAAAATGGTACATTTAATAATATCGAATTTTACTGTAAAATTACGTTAAATTTACAGTTTTTGTAAGTGAAAAAGAACAAGTCAATGTATAATTTACAGTGAAAAAAAAATGTAAATTGACATTCCCACAATTCCCAGCGTGACACTTCACAATTAATGTTTTTTTTTGTTTGTTTCTTCATAATTAAAAATTTTCGTAGTACTTTTTTTTTTAGTTATGTTTTAGTTTTTTTATAATTAGTTATGCACATTGGGGTTTTATGTTACTTTATTATTATACATATTATATACATTATACTATTATTATTATTATATTATCATTATACATTATTATATTATTATACATATTATATACATTATACATATTATTAACATACTTTATTATTTTTTAATTTACTTTATGTTGTTAAATGAATGTTTTGTTGCATTTTTTTAAAATTTCAATATGTTACCATGATGGTGTTTAATGTTTGTGTGAATGAAACTGTGTATCTTCCATACATTAGTATCAACTTTCTCGTGGAAGAGCTACTTTTGATGAGTTTTGATTATGTGACTCTCATTTACTGCTGTGATTGTTGGCTGTCAGTGTATTACAGTGGAAAAAAACAAATATTAATACTTCAAAAGGTCAGTAAATTAACATTATATCAGATAATGAAATACGGTTTATTGCTGTAAAATTACATAAGATTAAAAGTCTGTAAAACCTAAAATGTTGCTACTGTACTTTTAACAGGAAAATTCTGGTAACCACAACTGCCAGTTTTTTCCCATAAATTTAACAGATTTTTTTAATAGTTTTTATGCAAATATGAAAACGGCCACAAACGGTGTTATGCCAACATAACAGAGCTTCATCAATACACACACTGCACAATGCACGCAGGCTCCTCTGCAACCTGAACAAAGTGAACCGCTGAGCCGAAATGAAAGTGAATTAGCTTTTCTCTGTGGAGGAAAAGACAGCAAATGAACGATCAAGCCGAGAAATCCTCTGGGGGACTTCTACAACACTGCTATCTCTACGCGTCTCAAAAGAGTGTTAACACACAGGACAGGTGAATGCTTTTTCCAAACTACACTCTATTGCTAACACACACAGAGACACATTAAATGATCTCTAATGCATGTCAGGCTTCGCGACAAAATATACTACATCAAGAACAAACACATGACCCTTCACTGTCAGTAACTAAGGCCTACATCTCAACACACACTCATCCCACTCAATGACACCTAAAAAACACAAAATGACACCCACAATTCACACACAAATACAATTTTGTACACTCATATTCAATTAACCAATATGTAAAAACCTGTAAATGAAGTAGTGTATTTCCTCAATTATTAGATACATTTTCTTCATTTTAATAAACACAGGTAAACCAACATAGATTGTTTGGGTCTCCAAAAATGTAAATAAACAATAAACCTCCATTTAGCATGTAATGATATATCACGATTATTGCAATACTACAAGACATATGATAAAAAAATGAACTGTTGATTAAAATGCTATATTTGATATTAAATTGTGTGTGTAAATGAATGGGCTTGATGCTGATAACTCAATGCAGAGGACAATGGTGACACCAGATTAAAAATATTCAAGATTTTGAAGTTGAAAAATATACAGTATGAATGATTTTATATTGTATGCTTGATCTCTGTCACTGAGATATATTTAAAAATAATGATAGGCTGCTTTCTGCTGGTAATATAATACATTTGGCATTATTAGGACCCACAAATATTCCCCATTGGATTGTTATAGATGATATTCAACATTATATATAGGCCTAGTTTAATGGTCTTTTTTTCTTTTGTTGATTTTTTGACTATTATTATTATTGTTAATTTTGTTGTTTGTACTGTCTTCTGTTTATTCTCCTTCTCTTTTCTTGCTAAAACTGCTGCTGGAATTTTCAATTTCCTTTTGGGAGTCATCCCTAAGGATTAATAAAGATAAGTCTAAGTCTAAGTACTAACACCAAATTTTGAAAATTTGTATTTTCTCACACGGTCATTTTTTATTTTGG